AGCAATATAAATAGTTTTTCGAGTTTTTTGGCCGAGACAGGACAAGGAAACGACCCGATGGAACTGGTTGAAGCACGGAATATGGCTCTTGCTACAAGAGGACCGTTTACTTCCTACACACCTATAATGGTATGGAATCACCAGTTTGGGGATATTGAAGCCTTCTATACCGAACGTTTCGCACAAGTTGATGCTCGAAATCAGCTTTTCAGCTCTCCGGATATGGGCAGAGAGCGTCCTAGACGTGCTGCAGCAGAGATGGCTTCAAATGCTTGGAAAGGGCTTAGCCCGCGCAAGAGACAGCGACGTTAGTAGCTTTGATACATCAATAGGACGAGGCTTTTGAGATGCGCTTCAAACTTCCTCAGTAGAAAAGAGGTGACAATAGTGACATGTGGAGTATACCAGCGCTGGTAGGATTAGGAGGAGCTAGTCCTAATTAAGAATTTAATTTCCACCATTGCTAGCGTGGTGGGAAAATAGCATTTGGTGGGAAAATAACAAAACCTGGTGGGAAAATATCACCAGCCCTTTAATTTATCCAGAATCGAGACGATCTTTACGCTGCCGCTAGCGCGTACTCTACCTTCCGCGTCCTAATGGCTCTTATAGCCGCCTTTAACCTTGAATGCGTTGCCGCTAATGTTACGAATGTATTCGCTAATGCGATTCAAGACAGCGAGGTCTACATCCGTTACCCCGAAGGCTTTGGTTATAAACGACGCTGCTTCCTCGTCAAGAGAGCCCTCTACGGACTCCGCAAGTCCCCAAAGCTATGGTTCGAAACCATCTCTGAGTTCCTCTCTACCCTCGGTTTTACAGCAATCACCGAGGACCCCTGCGTATTCATGTCCCCATCGCTTATTATCTTTGTCTACGTTGACGATATCCTCGTATTCGGCTCGAAGTTAAATCGTCTACTGATCGATGAGTTTTTCCGTAAACTTACCGCACGATTCGAGTCCCGGCTTCTCGGTGATATCGAGGTTTTCCTAGGTATCCGCATCGTCCGTAATCGTGCCCAACGGAAAGTCTGGCTCTGTCAAGACGCCTACGTTGATAAGATGGTCAATAAGTTCTATCGGGAGAGGCTGCACCTGACACGGTCTGGATGCGCAAGGTCTGCGATTACCAAGTTCCATTAATCTAAACTGAAGAGAGAGAGAGAGAGAGAAGAAATCTCCCGGCACCTTTGTGCGCGAGATAGCGACTCTCCTCTCCAATGCCCTACTGCTGTGTTACCATGTTTGTTTGCTTCTCTGATATAATCCACCAGCCACGTCTTCAGCCACAACCAAGGGAACAGGCCGCAGGCCTGGGACCATAACAGCACCTGTAAATTCACCCCTTTCCCACGACTTCTCCGATCAACGATACGAAGGAACCGCATCCGCTCGTTCTATCCAAGGGTACCAGCAGAAGGTTGAATCTCTTGTATATGCCGCTGTGACCACACGCCCTGATATCGCCCTTGCGGTATCCAAGCTTTCTCGTCACAACCTCAATCCGTCTTCAAGGCATATAGAGGAGGCTGATCGCTGTATCGCCTACCTAAAGACGACGAAATTCTACGCGCTTGAATACTCCGGAACTTCACAACCTCCTCTAGATGCTATGTCGCTTCCCGTCCAAGCTGTATCTAACGTATCCTTCGCTAATGATCCAGAGACTCGAAAGTCTTCTAATGGATATATCATTTTCCTATTCAACGGCCCCGTTTGTTGGTAATCCGCACGTTAGACCGTGGTTACGACCTCTACCACTAAAGCTAAGCTCCTTACACTCTCCTAGGCTACACGCGAAGTGATCGCGATAAACCGTCTCTTTAGTCAACTTAGATTTGATCTAGAACAAGAGCTCACGATTTAATGTAACAATAAGCAGACCGTTGGTATCGTCTCTAAGCCAACTCCTTTGCTTACCTCACGCCTCCGTCACGTTGATATCCATTAGTTCTGGCTACGTCAAGAAGTCCAGACCGGTGATCTCAATGTTGAATGGATTTCCACGTCTGAAATGGTCGCCGACGGTCTTACCAAGTCCCTCCGGGAACTGCCAGGAACTGATGGCTGTCACGGGTATATAGCATGAAAGGCGGGATGAAGACAGGATGGCAGGCACAAAAAACCTTCCCCTCCCTGGATATTGAAAAGGACGGAATCAAAAGGGTCAGTTTATCCTTCTAGGGAACCCCCTGGTCTCAAATCAACCACCTACCATTGGTTTTGGGGAACGCATCGATCCACCCCACCACGTGACACTCAATCCACCCCCCACGTGATATTGAGCCAAAAAAGCGCTCTGATTGGTTGAATTGCCGCTGGCGTATTTGGGTTGATCCCCTGCTCTGGGAGGTCACGCGCTAGGCCTAGTTGAGCGATTAATTTCCATTATTACTAGCGTTGGGGACAAATCCCAAAGGGGGGACAAATCTCAAAATATTGGGGACAAATTTCAGTAGCCTTGAAGCTATTCCGAAGCATCTGAAAGGCATTAATTCGAGCTTCCTGTTAAGCATCCTTTCGACCACTCTCCCACAGTCAAGGCGTGGCTGTACGGCCATGGAAACGTCTCCTCCGCCTCCAGACGACGACTCTGCCTCAAGCTTCAATGGGTACTCCGACACGGAATCCGCGCGTTCTAACGACATCATTGTCGATGGCGATGTAGAATCTGCTTCCGAATCTACCTCTAATTATCGCGAATCCGACATACCACAACCACCAGAAGGAACACTGGGATGGGGCTCAAAGGAGGAAGCATACCGAGACCTCCTTATCTTTGTAAGAGCAAGGAACTTTGGCATCTCAATACTCCGATCGAAGCCGAACAAGCAAGGGAAGACTAGGGCGGTTATCTACCAGTGCGACCGTGGAGGAGCGTTCAGAAGTAAAGCAAAGATCGGGTCTCGTCGGACATCTACACAGAAGACAGGCTGTCTATGGACGGTTACCGCGCACTTCGATAGAGATATTGAGTTATGGCGGGTTAGCGGAGCTCCTGTCGAACATAATCATCCTATTGTATCGCCATTGGCTCATCGCTGCCATAGGAGGCTTTCTCCCGTTGCCCGCAATCGGATTCAAGACCTGTTAGTTGCTAGGACGAAGCCAAAGACTCTATATGAAGATTACCGGCGGACTCACCCAAATACATCCGTACGACCTCGCGATGTCGCCAATCTTTGTGCGCGTTTAAGGGGAATTCGGGCCGGTGAGGAGACACTTATCCAAGCCACCATCCGTGCGTTGGAGACTGAGTCTGATTTCAAGGTCAAATACGAACTAGATGAAGATGAACACTTACGATCTCTGTTCTTTACACACCATAAAAGCCTAGAGATCTTTAAGGATAACTTTGACGTACTCTTAATGGATTGTACGTACAAGACGAACAAGTTCCATATGCCTCTTTTCCACATCGTCGGGATGAGCTCAAATAGGCGCCCTTTCCACCTAGCCTTCGCCTTCCTCTCTACAGAATCGGAGGGGGACTACTTATGGGCGTTAGAGACACTCGTTCAGGCTCTCCCTGTCATGGGCCCAAACCACGAAGGATTTGGTAAGCTGGTAACGCTGTTGAATTGCTAAAGAGAGAAGGAGAAGATCTCTCTTACTGCGATCTGCTATTTACATCTGTGGGCAAACGGTCTACCCATCCCTCAGCCTTCTGCCTTAGGCCGCAAGGCCACAACACACAGACTGGGCGAAGCCCAAGACTGTCACACTCCCTGAGCGTAAAATTCCTCGTCTTATCCTGACAGATAAAGAGAAGGCTTTGATCAATGGTCTAGAACGCGTCTTTCCAGGCGTTCCGCATCGCCTATGTGCCTGGCACACAGAGAAGAACTGGCAGGCGAGGATATCCAAATCAGTCACGGGCGTGCCAAGCGGTTTTCTCGGAGATCTCAGGAAGTACGGTCAGACCATATTGGCTGCCTTTACTGAACTTCTTTACGCTGTATCTGAGACGGTTTGATCGCAGAAGTTACGAGAACCACTTTCATTTATTGCAAAGCTAAAGAAGAAGAGCTATCTACGACGCGTGCGCGATGTCCAAGACTTCGACAGTTGACTTAGTCACGTGACTATCATTCAGGAGACAGGCCACAGGCCTGGAACCATAACAAGACGTTGGAAATTTAGGAACGTTTAATAGAGAAACCACATAGAGACTGTCGATTAGATTTAGATTTATCAGTTGCAAAGAAAAACGTATATAATTTCGCTTGTTGTTCGTGAATTAGCCGTCCAAAACCGGATTAGCGTACTCAGCGGTCGATGACCGGATAAAAAAACACCCCCCCGCGCCCTGTTGTAACCGCAACAGATATCCGCTAATACATCTACACGGCATCCAGTTTTTGCAGGGGGCACCCGCTGCATCCAAACAGGGTACATAGAATCAGGGCATCCGCGCATCCACGGCATCCACTGCATCCAATCAGGCCTTGAAATGAAAAATAGTTTGCCGATGAAGCAAAATCAGACTCAATCTCGAGCACGCAACGCGACGTCATAATCACGAAATGTGAGTTTTCGAGCCGGGTGGGTCTTGAGATGTAGATCATGACCAAGAGTTGCCCATGCCAAGGACCCACTGGACGCCAAGTTCTGTGGGATCGGGACTTGGCTCTCTGCCCCTTCCCTCCTCCGAGATTTGATCTTGTAACTGTTTCCGGGGTCCCCGACCCCACGCCATGAGATAGCTTTGCCGTGAGCTTCTCCCCACACATGAAAGTCGTAGACTCCCATAATTCCTTCCCAGTAGCGATTGATTGATTGAATCATGAATAAGCGTCCTTCTCCGTTGCCCATTGCCCCGCCGGGAACCATGTACAAGACCGAAAACAGCCTGCTAGTCCTCTCTAACCCCACGTCCCAGCTTTTGAACATGACACCATGGATGTCTCTCACCACTTGGCAAAGCTTAGCCATACAAAATCAGGGGACAAAAACGCGACCATTGTCCCGCGAATCCCGAATACCAGCCATTCGGATCCTTCCTCTTCCTCTATTTACTTATCCCTAAGCTGATTCACAAGTCCAACAACGATCATGGTGGTCGTACAGTACCTCAAGAGGATTGGGGCCTGGCTTGCTCCTCCTCCTCCAAAATCAGACGATGGCCGTGATCAATGGCCTTCACGAGCTGCCTTCCTTCTTGCTGCAATGGGAGGATGTGCGGGACAGGGAAACCTGTTGCGGTACCCTTCTGTTGTTTATAACAACTATGGGCTACAGTGGTTCATCCCGTATTTAATGGCTGTGTTCCTTATTGCCATTCCGACCCTGATTCTGGAGATCTCTATCGGCCAGGCATATCGCGGTGGAACTGTCATTGCCTGTAAGTATTGAGCCGCGATCTTATCACCTTGTAGTCTACCCCTTGCCCTAAGCTATCCCTGGTAGATGATCTGCAGAGATTTGACTCTTAAGACCTTTCCAGAGGCAGTTTAGCCTTCTAGCTCGAACCTAATGTAGCACCTAGGTACATATGTTTCTTAGTACTAACTGTCTTTAGTCAACAACATCAACAGGAGACTAAAAGGTGTTGGAATGGGACCGGTCTTCGTGTCCTTTATCGTCGTCCAGTATTTCACAGTCAACCTGGCCTGGATTATGAACTATTTTCGACATTCATTTACTAGCCCGTTGCCATGGGAGGGCCGAATCGAGGAGTTCTACTGGAATGATATTATCCACAATGTAGATCCAGTCGAAAACGGAAGCTTTCTTAAATACCCAAGTACCAAGGTCCTTGGGGAAACTGTCGGCTGGAGTATGTTCATCTGGTTTCTTATCTGGGTCTCCATCTTCCGCGGAGTTGGCTTGACCGGCCGCGTCGTCTACTTCACCATGGGTCTGCCTATCGTAACGACGATCATCTTTGTTGGCCGTGCTCTGTCCCTAGAGAATGCTGCAGCAGGTGTAAGACTACTCTGGGCGACTTGGAGAAGTGACCAGTTGGCGTCCGGCACAGTCTGGCAAACTGCCGTCGGACAGGTATTCTTCTCCACCGGAATTGGCTTCGGATACTTCACATCGTATGCATCGTACAATGCAAAGCACTCAAATGCCGTCATGGACGCTGTCCTCATCTGTGGATCCAATGTTTTGTTCGAGAACTTTGCTGCATTTGCAGTCTTTGGCGTTGTTGGATATCTTCGAAGATGGCCGCAGGATGGGGTCCGACTTGGTGCTTTTGTCGTCGGATTCCTGACTCTTCCAGAAGCAGTGCTTCAGATGCCCGGAGCGAACTTCTGGGCGGTTCTGTTGTTCTTCACCCTTGTCGTACTCGGGTTCAGCTCGGCCTTTGTCATGCTGGACGTTGCAGCCACCTTGGTCGTCGACTCTGGCCTCAAGTACTCGCGTCCCGTTGTTGTCACCGTGCTAACACTGGTTTCATTCTTGATGTGCATTCCATACTGCACGGAATTTGGTTATTACCTTCTCGATGGCATTGACAGATGGGTTAATAATGTAGCTCTCATCTTCATTGTTTGGAGTGAGGTGGTCAGCGCTACCACTGTCTACCGTTGGAGCGATATCACCAGCCAAACTGGTCTACCTGCATTCGCTGTCTACAATCTTGGATATTTCGGAGGGATAGTCATTGGCATTTCGATTGCGCATGGCATCAGCAACCCAGGAGCTGGAGCTGAGGCGGGCATAGGCTTCTATATCGTCTGTGCCATTGCGTCATCCCTCATCGCGGAGACTCCCAATTCCAGAGCACCTAGTTTCTGGAATGCGAACGTGTTCCTGAGCCGGTTCTGGTTCTTAGCGTTTTATTCAGTAAGCAACGTTATTTCCTCGTCCTTGATCCAGATTAACTTAAAACAGGGCAATCAACTGCGGCGAGATTTAAACGTCATCGTTGGCGGAGGTAGCAACTGGAATATCCCCGTTTTTCTACCACTCCTGCTCCGTTATATCAGTGGTCCTGTCTTAGCAATCATCTTCAGTTTTGCGTATCCCGAGTTCAAGACCCTAAAGAATGACCCGATGATGGTTGCCGGCTTCATTCTCGCGCATCTCGGTCTGGTTCTTATCATTCTTGGTTTTGTTATGCCGAGGTATTACGATATCTTCGTTCCGGTCCACCGCCGGGATAAGGGTACGGAGCCGACAATTGCGAACGAAACAAAGGGCATTGAAGGTAGTGAGGTTACGACGGATATTCATAATAATGGCCTTGATGGTGGAGAAGCTGGTTTCGCATTTTCTAGTTCTCGTGAGCAAGAAAAAGCGACAGCAAAGTAGGATATGAAGACGGACGAGAGCTGGGCGGGAAGTCATGCGATTCGAGAGACTCTAAATTCTAATTGAGATTACCCGTAGAGAAATGCATCGGCCACCCAAATGAAGGCTTTACTTAGAACCTCATTAAGTTTATTGTATCTGTTAGGATTTGGATTTTAGAATATCTAAAGAGGCTCAATCTTTCTGAGTGTAAGGGTCTCACTGTAGGGAATCTCCAATCGTGAGGCAAACATTGAATTGTTGCTATGAAGGAGGAATCTATCTAAGGTGTGCGAGGCGTTTATCTGTTCTGGTGTTTACAGAGCAAACCTGAACCAGAACTGAACGGGCCATAAGGCCACAAGGCATCCAGGTCTGCGGACCTCTGATCCATCACAAATTCCATCAACTCGACTGACACGATTTGTCAAGAAAATCTGCATCGTATAGATAGTAGTATACTACGTGTCTAGTGACATTAATGCTCACGATGGCTTTGTGGTTCACGCACCATGCAGCAATCGATGTATGGTTCGCCGTTAATCACAACACTGAACGTGTCCTGCGTTTCAAATGCGAACCGTTGGTATGTCGGTCTGCCGAGAGGTGACGCCTCAACATAACTCCGGTGCCCGGTCTGATCCGCCTGCTTGCAAAATTCATTCATCAGTAGCGATCCCGCGCCTCTGCGCTGGTGCTTTGGCAAGGTTGCGAGGACGCTTAGGTCTACGAAAATACTTAATACTGTCGTATCACACTGTTTGTATTGTGTCTAATAACTTACACCAATGCTCCTCCTCGCCCATTATCTTCTTCTTTTTCTCCGTCGCTTTGCCAGTAACCTCCTCGAATAGCGCGATATCCCCGTCCATAGGCCACTCGGGGGGTTTCTCCTGCGGAGGCTCCGTGTGCGGCGAGCTCCATTTGGCGAAGGCTATGATCTCGTCTGATGCATGCACCGACTCTGCCTGGCCCTCCACAACCTTGTATATTCGGGTATGTGGCTTCTCGATGTCGCTTTCCAGGCTCTTCTTATACCATTCGCGGACGGGGGGTACATCAGGCTTCACCTTCAGGACCAAGGGGCTCTTAAACGTGTCGAAGTACAAATCGACCAGCTGGGGGATATCCGCTTTTACTGCTCTCACGAGGCGTAAAGGCATAGTATAGGCCACTCTTTAGAAGCGCAACTATGTGAAGAAGAGCACAAGTTCGTTAAAAGTCCTGCCAACAGATGATGGAAAGAGCAGTACGGCTATAGAGCAATGTAGCCAGAGACCTAATACAAAGCTCAATTTAGAGTAATAGTGGGTTGCATCGTGGGAGTTGATTCGGGCGACCTAGTTTACGATATGGACCGCCTCCCCAAGACGCTAGAGAGCGAAGCGAACAAGTGGTCTTGACACTTGGCTGGTGAGATTTGTCCCCCCGTTTTTGACATTTGTCCCCCCAATGAGATTTTTCCCCCCGCGCTAGTGGTAGAGGAAATTTGTCAAGGATTGGTAGTCCTGGGTGATATTGGATTGCTGTAGGCAACTGAATAGATCAAGAAGTCTGTATCAACGTATTTGTATTGTATGTAATGGTGTAAATGTGTAACAGCGCGAATCGCTACCGTCGAGAGTTGGTAGGAGGGTGGTGAGATTTTCCCCCCCGCTTTTGAGATTTTGCCCCCCCGTGAGATTTTCCCCCCGCGCTAGCGATGATGGAAATTAATCGCTGAACTAGGCTTAGCGCAAATTATTCTATATCTTCTTCAACAGACAACTTCAATGTTTCAATCTATTCCTTATGAAGCCTATCTTCTACTAACGTCGCTGTCTCTTGCGCGGGCTAAGTCCTTTCCAAGCATTTGAAGCCGTCTCTGCTGCAGCACGCTTAGGATGCTGTCTATGCACATCTCCAGATCCAAAAAGAGGATTTTGAGCAGCGACTTGTGCAAATTTTTCAGCATAGAAAGCTTCCATATCTCCAAAGTGATAATTCTATGCCATTGTTGGAGTGCAGGAAGCAAACGCCCCTCTTGTCGCGAGAGCCATATCCCGTGCTTCAACTAGTTCTGTAGGGTCGTTTTCCTGCCCTGTCTCTGCCAAAAAATTCATCACTATGCTAATGTCACTGCAGTTATATAGAACAGGCTGAAGTCGTCGACGCTCGATGTCGGCAAAGAACTCTTCCAACGACGGGGGTTACGGAGCAGGCTGTAGAGGGGATTAAGCCGTAGTAATAGACGCAGTAACAGAGACAGGTAAAGACAAATAAGATGGAGTAGGGGAAGATATAGGAGTAGGTGAAGGGATCGATATAGATGGAGAAGTAGTTATAGAATTCGTAGCTGGTGCAGATGTAGGAACTGATACGGTAACAGCTGTGTTTGTGTATCGTAAGACCTCAGCAAGTGTTTGACCCTGGGGGTGAGGAGGAGGAGGCTGAAATTGAAGGATAGAAGGTGGCACACGTCGTTCAAAGTGTAGAAGTATTGATACGTGATTTGATTGATCTATCTAGGAGTATGGGAGGCCTCGGAGGAATAGGAGGTAACCACACATGATACTAGCCGTATTGGGATGTCACCTGACTCCCAACCTCTAGAGGATGGTTGATATCCAACACAAAGCCTGAAAGATCTCGACGAGTTATAGCATTCGTAGGTAGTGCAGATGTAGGAATTGACACAGCGACAGAGGTGTTTGTATGTTGTAAGACCTCAGCGAGTGTTTGACCTTGGGGTTGTGGTAGAGAGGGCGGTACACGTCGTTCAAAAGCTAATGGATCTCGACGAGTTGATGCCTTGTTCTTCCTCGGCGCTCCTCTTGTTTAAGCAGGAAGCGGCTCTAGGATAGATTAATATGGCCTTGGAGAGAGGCTTATTGACCGTCCTTGCTCACGTTGATAGCGCCAATGGTCGTCGTAGAGGTGATTTGGTCGTAATGTCGATCCAGAATTTATTACATCTCGCAGCGTATGATGACATGGAAGACCGTTTATCTTCTTAAAGAGGCCAGAACAAGGACGCCCGCTACGACGTTGTCTCTGCTCCTTCTGGCGTAATAGATCCTATTGTCTAATGCGTTCAATTGCCGCTGGCGTAAGGATGTCATGAATCCCAGGAGGTAGGAATGGCATTAACTCCAGTCTGTGCTCGAATTTAATGCTGTGTTTAGAAGAAGCAACCTGTTTCTTGTACTTGTTGTATTGACTCTTGACCATCTGCTCAATCCTTCTAACAACACGCAGCAAGTCGCCTGTTGAAGCCATGAGGTAGTCCTTCAAGACCTTATGCATTCCTTCACCAGGAGAGGTTGTGATTGTATTATAGTGTCGATGCTGAGACGTCCAAGCAGCTGCCCACTCGGTACATATATGCCATTGATTGTCACGTAAGTATTGGCAAAGTTCTCGCTGGTCGACGTAGTCTTTGAGTAACTCGTTCCACTTTAGCTTAAATGTATGTGGACTCTTTGCGTAGATAAGCTGCTCCAGTCAGTTCTGTAAAATAATTATAAGAGGCATTCCCGGAAGCCTTCTGGAAACGCCTCTTAGGCCATTGGCGGGGAGCGAGCATACCTGACTCCAACGTTTCATAAATTGGGCCCGGTGCTCAGCAATTCTCTGCTTCTCTTCTTTTGTTACGCCATCAGCGTCTCGCCAGGTCTTTTGAGCCTTTGTCTGCACATTCTTGTTGATATGCCATACGCACAGGAGTTGTGGAACACCCGGAAATAGAGTGCGAGCTACTAGTTTTACCGCATCCTCCTGATCGCTGATAAACACGCGTGGCTGCGGGGTCCCTATCTTGAGGAGGAAGTTTGAGATTACCCAATGGTAATCTGCTTCTTTCTCGCTGTGGAGGAAGCAGAACCCTACAGAGAAGAAGGTCTGCAGATTGGTGCAGCCGAGTATATGCAACAGTAGGAGTTTGTACTTGTTGGTTCGGTACGTACAGTCCATCAACAGGATATCGGGATTCGCGAGCAGTAGCTTAATCTGCTTCTAGTAGGCAAAGAAGAGACTTTGTACGTGATTATCCGCATCCTTCTTAATAGTAAAGACCTATTCCGGCGTAGACAGGTCATCTAATAATGTCTTAATCGGACTCCTCCCATTTAAGTACTTCTCTCTAATTGCCTTCCTCTCGCCGCGAATATCGGTAGCAGATACTAGCGTGTTCGGATCCTCCTTTTGAATAGCAGCCATTATCTACATCGGCCGTACCCCAGTATATATCATTAATTTAATTATATCTTTCTATGCTAATGTACGCTTACGATAGACATTATGCGTACTAGGGTTAAGCGACCGGGGATGGTTATTGTAAGAGTCTCACTGTCGGGAATCTCCAATCGTGAGGCAAACATTGAATTGTTGCTATGAAGGAGGAATCTATCTAAGGTGTGCGAGGCGTTTATCTGTTCTGGTGTTTACAGAGCAAACGGGCCACAGGGCCACAAGGCATCCAGGTCTGCGGACCTCTGATCCATCACAGTTATAATACTTGTGTAGAACCTCCAGCTTCTACTGGTCGTCGCTTTTGTTCTTAAATATAACAAGCCTAAAAGGACACCCTATTGAGCGTATGCTTGTACTCAGAGTCCTTGCTCTTAACTAATAGTTTCCGGATCGATCACAGTGGTAGTAATATCGTGTCTTAACATTAGAATTGTGAGGTTTACTCCGCTTGAGTAGGAAGCCGTAGCCATGCTGCATGCTATGGTCCCTAAGAGAATTGTAGGCTTCTTTATAGGACGTGTAAAGACAATCTGGAGGAGGGGCGATATCCTCCATGCTAAGATCTGTAAGAGAAGGAATGTGAGAAAACAGTGGTTCCTGATATCAGGTGGTCTACAAGACAGGTCACAGCGGGAGCTCTGTGTTTGACCAAGAATTGTGTCGGAAGTCAGCGGTCTACTTAGTCATCCCATTCTGTACATTACGTAAGCCTGGGTATATCTACCCTGCGATGTATCCTACCTTTACACAATACAAGCATCTCACTGCCTCTGAACAGGTATCCTATTGTTTCCGTGATTGTTTGACACGCCAAAACGATCAACAAATTGAGACATTGATTGATCTTGCTCCTATACGCCCATATTTAAGTTCTGTATACAAATTGATGGCTACCGAGACCCTGGTTTCCTCAAAACGAGCGAAAAAGCAAAGAATGAGGGGTTGGTAACATCGCGGGATGTGTAATACACTGTCATGGTTGGGAACACGGGATCGATACCACACAAATACGAGCAAGAAATGGGGATCACGGGTAGGAAACCGGAAAGCGCCAAAAAACAGGGGTATCTCGAAAACCTGATCTCTAACAAGGAACACCTCCATGCTGAGATTATAAGAGAAAGAACGGATTGAATATTGACGCTGTCCCTGGGCGAAGAGGAGGCAAAATGCGCGCTAGGCTCAGTTGAGCGATTAATTTCCATCATCACTAGCGCGGGGGGAAAATCTCACGGGGGGGCAAAATCTCAAAAGCGGGGGGGAAAATCTCACCAGCCATTACCGCAGTAAAATATTACCGTACCGTTTTACTGTGGGCTTACCGTTGGCCGCACTGTCGCCAAGCACTCGACGAAAACCTCAATCAAAAATGGCGACAGCAACAGCAAAATGGCCGAGCTTCAAGTTCGCAACCCATGCCTCGGTCTCAGAATTCTGCGTCTCTTCTCAAGCGTACTTGGCGAACCATCCAAGCGAGTACAGCCAGTATCAACATCTTGCCATCGGTGCTTTGGTCTTTAATCATTCGACCCCAAGGCGGCTTCTCCTCATCCAGCGCGCAGCTAGTGATACCATGCCCAATCTATGGGAGATCCCCGGAGGTGGCGCCGACGATGTAGACGAGACAATTTTGCACGGTATAGCCAGAGAACTGTGGGAAGAGACTGGCTTGATGGCCACAAGCGTCGGACCGGAAGTGGGTGTCGGACAGATGTTCACCGTTGGATATGCCAAACTAAACCAAGTGTGCTCATACAAACCGTGATACGAAATTAAACCAATATAGCCAAACATTCAAGGCAGAGTACCGATAGTCAAAAGAATCCTGGTTCTAGAGATCGGTTTATGGGCTATTCTTTTGCACATTGGAGAGATAGAAATTTGAACCAAGGCCTGCATGGTTTGATATTCCCTCCTAGTACATCTTTTTTTGAGAGAGACTTACTAACTTGGGTGCAAGAAATAGCTTGGGTATAAGAATTGTTCAAAACCCTAGCTCCGGCCCCTGATTCTTCGCGTCGACCTAGATGCTTTCCAAGTTCTTTGCCTCTACGTCCCACCCTGCTTGTTCGGCAGTGCCGCCAGTGAACCATTGCGCTGCTTCTTGATCACTTTTCAGCAACCACTTTAACCAGTTGGTGCCCGCGACCCCGAACTTGCCACCGTCCTTCTCCGACCAGGTCGCCATATGGCCAACAGGGAGGTTGCCTTTCCATGATGGAACATTGCTAGGTAGGTTTTTAAAGTCACGTTCGCCCTAATAAATAGATTAGCATCGGACACGAGCCGCGGATAAAAACGTACGTTTTCATAGGCGATATCCGATGAACCACCAAGGAAAAAGAAAACGGGCTGGTGCAGTTGAGCGACTGTTTGTTTTGATGCTGAGTCGCTGAATTCTCCAGAGTTAAAAATTCCAATAGCCGAGACGCGAGGATCGGGGGCGACATCGTATGCCTCGAGACCACCGCAGCTCTGTCCTGCAGCAGCAATTTTTCTCGTATCAACATTAGCATATTTCCCTTGTCCAGCGTTCTGAGTGATAAACTCGATCGATTGGAGTAACATTTCCGATGTGGTCTGACCGGAACCGCCTGGACTACCATTGGCAATAACCATAAAACCATGGGAAGCCCATTCGGTTAGAGCTCCTTCGAACGCGGTACTATCGCCCATACAACCTCCATTTCCCCAAACGAGTACAGGCAGCTTTAGATCTGCGGGAATCTCCTTAGGAAGATAGATAGTATGTTTAGGTAGACCTGGGTCAGTTGAGTATTCCTAAGAAGATCAGTTTATATATATTTTCTGTGGCTTGGCTGGAGGGGTACTCACTGCTGTATATGGGCCAGTGCCACCACCGCTAGGTCCTCCCATAGGCCCTCCAAGTCCGCCACCGCCACCCAACAACCCACCAAGTCCTCCGAGGCCTCCTTCTAGTCCTCCGAGGCCTCCTCCTAGCCCTCCGAGCCCTCCGCTTGATCCACCCAGTCCTCCAAGGCCCCCTAATCCTCCGAGTAGTCCACCACCAGAGCCGCCCAATCCACCACCAAGCTGAGGAGCAGCCTCACTGGCGACGGCCAAAAGACTGAAGAGTGTCACTGACTGCATTTTAAAAGGCACAGACGATGCGAATTAACGAAATTATGAGGTCTGATAGCCGAAGAGGTTTGTTGAGGGAACTGTGTGACTAGAGGAATATAAGAAGCGCGTATCTGGCTGGGAAGGTCATTTTATATCCTATTTGATTCCGGAATGACAATCAGACCACACGAGTTCATCTCGGCTAGACTGGCGACCATGATATTGCATTCATTTTAGCTACAGCTCTTGGCAACCGTCGTCGCGTTTTCGACAGAGCGATTGTATGTGGAGAAGAGATACTGTGCCTAGTGATCTATTAATGAAACTTTGAATGCAAGCAGAATTTAGTGCCAGAACTTAGTCCGCGAGCGGACCCGTTCTTCCAGTCTAGAAGTGAGATCGTTTAGTTTACGGAAGGTAGGGCATAGCTTACCAAGGTTTGCCTTACCGATCCCGAGCATGAATTTAAATAGGCATCCCATAAGGTTTAGTGGATGATCATGTTCGCTGACAGCAGCCATACTTAGACGTTGTCCCAGCTATATCGCCAAGAATCCTGCTTTCTCTCGGGTGGAGAGACGTGGGCCTCCCATGTACCTAATTCTCTGCACTGAGTGTCGGGAGGGGTTAAAAACTGGGCTCACCATTGACCGTAGGTAGAGGGAAAGACGAGCGTAGGGTATCGTAGATCTGAACCCTAAGCAATGGCGAAAGGTGCCATGTATGCCGAGGACTTTCCGTACTTGCGGTCAACTACATACCCTGAAAACCACCTAGGTTGATGTTCTAACGATATCGTGACCTAGATATTTAATAATATGTGGAATAAAATCCTCTAAATGGGGATGCTTCTCCGTTGTGTTCGTCCGCGATTCATTTAGTCTGACTCTGGTCCTAAGGAATCGATCAATCAGATAACGACGGACAAGAACCACGCAGATTGGAACTACGCCATGAAGTGGGGCAGTAAATTTCCTTTAAATTTCAATGCTAGGACCGATCTAAATAAATCGGAAAGTCCGATAGAGATCGGAGAATCCGATACTGCAAACTCGCATCCACAAGTACGAACCTCACGCAGCTAGCGTGAAACACAATGGCGTGTTCGCGAATCGATTGCAAATCGCAGGAGGATAATAGATTCTGTATTGTTGCACACTGCGTTACGACGAGACTGATCCTTAAGAAATCAGGAGAAATTTAATGCTCATTTTTAGAACAATAATTGCTTAGATGAAGAGTGAAATGGCTGAGGTCATGTTGGTTAGTCACATGATCTGCCTTGCAGGTGCATTGTATGTCTTGTGTTCTCATTTGAGGCTGCGAGCCGAGAGCCCTCGAGAAGAGTCTAAACACCGCCATCCGGCGTCTGACGTTCAGCCATGGCAAAGTTCTCAAGCTGTCCGGCATGGGTTGACACGGTCCAATAGTTGGGATTTGCACTGGCCAATGGCAACAATCAAACTTTATTTCCAGCTCACGTTAATTCGATGAGTCAATACGAATATCTGGGCAATTGCAGACACATTATTTCAATTTGTATGGAACTTCGCCAACAAGTGATGCACCGTCAATAGAACCCGCTTCGACGCTCAAATGCTATTTCTTTGCATGTGGACGGCAAACTATCCCTGAGACCCTTTGATTTTGCCTAGACACTCGCCGCAGGCGCGCCACCGCTACCAGCGTCTTCCGTAATAATTCGATAAAGCTCTGGGGCGAAACACGCGGCCACCTTCTGGTCCCCTCTATCATTGAAGTGGACACCATCCCTAGTATCAGCGGACGCATCAAATCCTGTGAAGCAGTCTACCACAGTGACCGGGGACTCTGGTGTCGACTTCGCTGCCGCCCAAGGAGGAATTGCCACATCGAGCGGCCTGACGTCTGTGAGCGTCGCCGGTGGGATTTGTGCGACCTAGAGTTTGACAGTTGTCAGTCACTCCTAACATAATATATTAGCACAAGGCCTTTGGGTAAGACTTACAACTACCTGTACGTTCGGGTTATCTGCTCGCATTTGATCAACGAGCTTCCCGAATGCGGCGGTTATTTTAGAAGGGTCCCCTCTGAAAGCCTATCCATAGTTAGTGTCTGTTTCCTTTCTATAAGTAGGATATGGGATGAACCCAGCATACCATATCATTGACTCCAAGCAGGATCATCACGACATCAGGGTGCAGTGCGGCCAAGATAGGAGGAAGCTTATTTTGGTCCCACGGAGCCCCGCCTATGTTAGGCCCCGACTGTGCTGCTGTTGCCTTGATTGCCGGATAGCCTTCGTGGCCCCCATTGTCTCCGCACGTGGATCGCTGAGTGCCCACGAACTGGAAATTTTCTGCCCCCGCAGTCCTCAGCTCCTGCGCGAGCACACCCCTCCAACACGTCTACACGGATGATTATTTAGCAGAGTTAAGGAGAAGCATCTAGAAGAGCACCCACTATCGCTGTTGTTGAGTCTCCAAGGGGCATAATCTTCAGCTGTGCAAAAGCTAGAGGGAAGAAAAGAGCGCAAAGGCTGAACCAAACAGCTGTACGAGCCATCTTGTGTCGTATATTCGTCGATGCGCGACGAGAACTCAAGTGTGTTTAGAGTATCATAGCAAAAGGGAGAATGGACCGCGATGATTCACTTATATACATCGAGGCTGGCCTGCAGCCTTTCGAATCCTCTTTCATTAAACTAATCGAAAGCCCTTTTTGATTCGGCTCTGATGTTGCCTCGGACCATTGGCAACAATCTCCATCTCGGAATTTCCGATTAGGGTTATGGTCATATCGTCTATCAAAATCAAAGCCATAGTAACACTTTTTCTGCAGTTTCGGAAGACTAAAAACATGCATAATTAATCTATATCCATCCATGAATCGTCTGGGTATTTATATAAAAGGATAATGGCCACCCTTGGTCTGTTATCGATTTGAACGCTATGTTCTTTAAGTTCAGACACCATGGCGAAATCACTCGTTTGGCTACTGTTTCTGTCTTCCCTCGTTTGCCATGTCTTTGCAGTGGTAAGGATCATGCCATTGGGTGACTCTGTTACTGCAGGAGTAAGTGTGCAACACTTTATGTAAAGCTTCTGCTGACAAGGAAAAACGAAGGGCTGCTGGCGCCAGGTTCTCTGGCAGAATCTTGCTCAAAGCGGCTTGGAAGGGCAATTCAAGTTCGTCGGTACACAAAAATCACTCTTTTCCTGCCCAGGCGAATACGATCTGGAACACGAGGGTCATGTTGGCTATGAAGCAATCGGAATTGCCAGCAAAGGCCAGCTTAGTGGCTGGCTAAACCAGGTCAAGCCTGTTGACATCGGCATGATACTTTTAGGCACGAACGACGTGGTATGCAAATGTAGCGGTGGGTAGAAACAAAATATCACTAATTAAGCTATAGTGGCGTGGAAGGAGCGTAGTGGATGGTGAGGCGGCATTCACCAAGCTAGTGGAACAGTTCCGTACTCAGAAGCCCACGGTTAGAATTCTGGTCAGTTAAAGATCTCTAATCAATGATTGGGCAAAACAGCTAATCAAGGTATTATTAGATAGCACAGATCATGAACTTGCAGCCCAGAGGCGTAAATTGCGGTAGCACATGCCCACAAGCTGTTTCCGCATGGAACGAGATGATAGCGGCCGTGGCTTCGAAGCTAAACACTCCTCAATCCCCAGTTATCGCTGTTGACTGTTTCACCGGGTTTGATATTGCGACCGATACACAGGACGGAATACACCCGAATAGTGGCAGTGGGACACAGAAGGTGGCGGCATGCTGGCAGGAGCCACTCGAGAAAGAAATTCGCGCGGTCATTGCAGCTGAGGGTGGTAAGTCAAGCTTCATATCCGAGTATATGTAGAGAGCTTCTAAATTCGCTTAGATGGCGTTAGTTAAAGATATTCTCTCTCAGCATAAGGGAGAAGAAAAGGCTTTCGGGATTAGAGGTTCTAAGATCCGTATAGCGAATGTTCAGAGATTTCATGGAATCGACTCAGAATAATGTTTGATTGCACTTCCCGTAACTTTACACCAAAATCATGACGAATTCTTGTTGTGATCTTATCATGGGGTTTGGCCACTGGCAGAGAGGAGTGTCACGGTGGGGTGAGAGAGAGAGAGAGAGATTCATACGCCCGTCAGGCCTCTCTGCGAGGCCCATGTGTCACGGTGGGGTGCGAGCGTTAGCATTAAGCAAGTAAGGACAGAGGCATCTCCAAGTCATGTGCTTACGTCACGTGACTCCTTCCTAGCATTGTACTTAGCACGCATACCAACGTCCTCTTGTTCCTGATTCCTTAAGGATCAGTCTCTAGTCATAAGGGGCACACACCCTTTTCTATATATTTTCTACTCACAAGCTACTCGCTGACTCCTCATCTGATTCCACCCCTGTGTGCTCTGACAGTTATTATATATTTAGGTATGTCGGCGAAGAGTATAACTGTAATTAGGGTAACTTGTAAGCTGCCTTCTTAGCAACCATAATGATGTCTATACAAGCGACAAAACGATTTCCCATACACTGTGCATTACTTCTCCCGATGTAGAGATTGTTTTGGTGTATGCGGGCTCTGCTCATCTTGAAGGCCCACAGAACCGTCAATGCGGCTTGCGGACCATTTCTAGCGTTAGTGTAGATTCGGCTGCGTTGGCATATGTCCGATCCTTGGTTTGCATGGAAGAGTGTCCTGGAAAATCATACTGGTCTTTACTGTCTTTGACTCACGACTAATAGACTTAACCGAGCTGCCGAAAGTCGCAAGACATATCCTGGGTACCTATCCTAGAGGGTGAGCGAAAGTCTAAAGCAGCCTGAGCCTTAACTGAGCCATTGCTGAGTCTCACCGAGAGCTACAGAGAGCACATTCTAAGTTCTACCGCAAGCATGTCACGAAAGACGGCTGCTGTGTCAGCAAATCTACTCGATGAGGCAATAAAGCTACATCAACGCTCGAGTCCCGCAAGTCACTTCAAACACCTCCGTCTCCTGGTCCTAGTGCTTCCAACGAGTAGGCGACGAGTAGTAGTAGGAGACCGCAGAGCCAGGACGAAGCTGCACCTTTTGTACGTTGCGTGGAAGTGTGTTAATGACTGGTTCATACCCTGGCTACGCACGGCGACGCGAACGGGTGGAAAGCGATGTACCTGTGATGGATCAGAGGTCCGCAGACCTGGATGCCTTGTGGCCCTGTGGCCCGTTTGCTCTGTAAACACCAGAACAGATAAACGCCTCGCACA